ACAGCAGCTCATTAAGTGTGAATGCATCAAGCACAATGGAAAAAGCTCTTATTGCACCGCTACTAAAAAGAGAGTCTATCTTTAAGTAGGAATTACAGAGTCTTCAACATTTCACTAACCCAGTGTTTCTCAACCTTGGCAACTTTAAGACCTGTGGACTTCAACTCCCAGAATTCCCCAACCAGCATGGCTGGTTGGGGAATTCTAGGAGTTGAAGTCCACAAGCCTTAAAGTTGCCAAGGTTGAGAAACACTGGGTTAGTGAAATGTTGAAGACTCTGTAATTCCTACTTAAAGATAGACTCTCTTTTTAGTAGCGGTCTGATAAGACCTTTTGCCATTGTCTTTGATCCAACCACACTTAAAGAGGAGCTGATAGGAAGTGCTTTAATCTGGAGGAGACTAAATTTTTCGTTCGCCTGAGTTCCATCAACATAGGAGCCTACCTGGGTGAAGGCACCTGCAGAACTTCAAGCAAATGTCCTTGGTCAGAAAGCACTTCTGCCAGAACTAAGCTAACGGTAGTTTCCAGCACAAAGGTAGAAGCATTGAGTCTGGCCGGTGGCTCTCTTAATCTCAGTTAAGCTCAGGAAGAAGCCAGGCCTTCCATCATGGCTATAAAGTGCTATAAAATAGTGGCTTTTGTACAGCTCACAAAGTGGCTTATTACAGGGAGTCCTCGTTTAGCAACTGCCTCGTTTAGCAACTGCTCAGAGTTACGACAGTGATGAAAAAGTAACTTGGCGACCAATCCTCGCATTTGCGACCTTCACAGGTCTGTAACGCAAGGGACAGCTGAAGTCAGATCGTAAGCACAGTCGTGGTTTCGTTTAGTGACTGCTTCGCTTAACCACTGAGTGGTCAGTCCCCACTGCGGTCGCTAAAACAAGGATGAGCTGTACTGCACAAATGTAGTACTGTAGGCACTTACATTTGTTTCCTCTGGAGATACAATAACTTAGGAACTGTACAGGGAAATTAACAGACACATATCTCACACATTGCTAAATAATTAGCAGTGAGTGACTTTTGAAATTGTCTATTCACTGATTCAAAACATCCAGCTTTATCGCACGATTCCTAGAGAGGAAAGTCTAAATATTCAGTGATAAATAAAAGATAAACGCAGATCTGTAGAAAAGTATGGTTCACTGGGGAAATTTACAGGAGGACTGTAGGGGAAAAAAAAATCCTGCTGAATTGTCCCTTAGATTCTAACAGCTTTCTACTGCATACCTTGGTTTCAGATATAAGTTTCTTTAACATTTGGATGGGTGTGCTGCTTAAAACTGGGGGAGCTTCAAAAGCAAGGGGAACTGCTAGAATCAAAATCTCATTAATTATTAAGATTAGCATTTGGATGGGAGACCACTAGGAAATTCCAGGTCTGTTGGCAAGTATGCAAAGTCAAAAATCACCCTGGAAGAAGGCAAGGGCAAACTATTTCCATCTTGTTAAGAAGAAAACTCCTGGACTAGTCCATAAAGCCACTAGGAGTAAATTTGACTTGAGATTTTTATACTTAAAGTATTTTCTCCTGGATTAAGTTACACCTTAATCCCATAGTTATTATTACAGATTTGAGTCTGATAAAATCTGCCAGTAAATTAGATAATAAGAAAGCTGAGAAAGTAAGCATGGTGCTTTGGACTCAGTCTCCAAAAGAAGCTGGGGCGGGGGCTCCAAAGCCTACAGGGAGCCCCCGTCTGCAACTCCTGAAAGCAGCCGTGCCTTTTCCAAGGACCACGCACACCCAACCCAGGAAAAGACACGGCTGCTTCCAGATGCTGCAAACAAGGGCTATTTCCATGTCCCTGTGCGCTCCAAAGCATCCGTGGGAGTGTGCAGGATCTGAATCTGAAGCACTGCACAGCCCTTGGAGGGGGTTCCTTCTACAGACCCATAATTCTCTAGGAATAGGCCGATTTGAAAAAGAAGAGGCATAATTCTCCAGGTCCTAGGAAACGAAGCACGAACATGAGCAACGGAAAGTGAAAAGATGCAATCCTGCCTGAATATTTGCAGAACGCCAAACTCCTACCTTACCTCATGCGTATCTGCTCTGACAACAGATTATCTGCTTCATTTATATTTCCTAAAACAATTTTCGCCATTTTCACTGTGCCTGGGCTTATACTGGGTTGCACATTCAGTCAACAACACCATTTTCCTCGGGATCCAAGGAACCCTTCAAACAAATCTGATATACCCAATCATGCCCTAAACCAGTGTTTCTCAACCTTGGCAGCTTGAAGGCGTGTGGACTTCAACTCCCAGAATTCCCCATGGCTGGCTGGGGAATTCTGGGAGTTGAAGTCCACATACCTTCAAGCTGCCAAGGTTGAGAAACAATGCCCTAAACTGAACAACCTTCTTCCTATGGTAGGAAAAACCTCTCTGGAAACTGCAGAGACTTTTGAAAGCCAATCATGATCAAATACAGACAGCGACATACTCCGCTCCAGACCTCTTTAGACTGTCCTTTGCAACAGATTCCCTATCCAGCAGCAGCTTCCAATATTTAATCGGGCTCTTCACACAAAAATAGTGGTGAAAGTCAGTGCCGTGGGACAGAGCAAAAGTGATGTCAGCTTCAGCGTTCAAACAGTGACAAATCTGAGTTACTTACGAAAGCTTCCTATCAGTTAGTAATACTTTTCAGCTAAAATTAAGAGTAGATTTTGTGAAACAGGAAATATCGTATTGAAAGTCCTGTATTACATAAAAAAAAAAAGCAAAATGAAAGAAGAGCTTCTTTTGGGGGAAAAAAAAGAAAAAGACCAATTGCTATACCCAGCAATATTCTGAAGGAGGACAAAAGTATTGCTTATGCAACGAAGTCACTCAGTTCACTATAAGGAATTTAAAAAGTTAAAAAAATATGAACTTGTTATAAATAATTTAAAATCTGTTATAATAGAACTCTGGTCTGCACTCTGCAACCTTTCGCCCCTTTTCTGCAAACGGTTTTGAAAATGCTTATTTGATGCACGCGACCCTTCTCTGCACGCTTTTGGTCCGCCCCGATTCACACCTTTCTGCCACAAAACGTTCCAGGTTCTGCGCCATGCGGCTCACAGCTGCGTCAAGGTGGAGAGAGGCCCCTTCGGAGCCCACGGTCCTTTCATAATTCCAGAATGATGTTCCCTAATGATGTTCCCTGTAGGGCATTCTTATTTAGAAAAAGGCAAAGGTGCCTTTTCTTGATGGAGAAGAACAAGAGTCTTTCTGAAGGCCGCAGCCGCTGCTGTTGCTGCTTTTCACCTACGAAGCGCTTCGTTACGCACCACGGCTCTTTCTAGAGATAGGGCTCCCCAAAAGTCTTCCGGCATTCCATCACTCCAGTACTGGGCGGCCGATCACAGTTGTGGGTGTTCTTGACCTGATTTGCTGTAAGACGATCATAGGCCATTTTGTATTCTCTGTCAAAAGCATCTGGAAGGAGAGGGAGGAAAATATGTATAGAGGTGTGCATATCCAGATAGATAGATAGATAGATAGAGACAGAGACAGACAGATAGACAGAGAGATAGACAGACAGACAGACATGCATGTGGCATGTGTGTGTATGTGTATATATATATATATATACACACACACACACACACACACACATACATACATACAGTAAAACCTTGGATTGCGAATAACTTGTTCTGCGAGTGTTCCGCAAGACGAGCAAACATTTCTAATCAATTTTAACTTGATAAACGAGCGATGTCTTGCAATACGAGTAGAACGTGATGCCGAATGTCACATGATCACAACTGAGCCAACGGTTCTTCTCTCTCTCGCCACAGGATTGTGGGTGAACGTCTCCCATGCTAGTGATAGTGAAAGTCGTCCTACACAATCACCCTCCTCTCTCTTGTCTCCCTCACGCCAGCCATGAAGGTTTTCAAAGGTAAGTGCAGGTTAATCTGTTTTTTCTTTATATTTTGTATTTTCTTTATTATTTTGTATTATATTACAGTATCGTAATCATTTT